GGCAAACAACTCTTTTCTGAGAAGTAAAATGACCACTTTTAACCTCACAAGGCTCTCTGCTCAGATGGGCACCCCTCAAACCAGAGGCAATAATCTGGACGACTAGAAATGCAAAAATTTAAATAAGTTTTGTGAAATCCAACAGTGTACCAAGATCAAGATGGCAAAAAAGAAAAAAAGTTGGGAAAACAGGGATTTGATTTTTCATTCATTACTTGGGAAAAGAAGATTCTTCTCAAAATGAAGAAACGATGTACAAAACAGATGTGCAATATGCCTACTTGAAACTTAAGATTTAAAAAAAATTATTTATAAGGAGAAGGGCATGAAAATTTAATTTAATGTTCACCTTAGGTAATTCTGTGTCTTATTGTTCATAGCAATTACCATAAATCTGCATATCAATAAGCGAGAACAGATGTCAGTTGTTACAAGTGCTTGCCAATCAGGTCTGTTAAAAAGTGACAGATGGGTGGTTATGGAAGTTCTCATAAGGCCTATTAGCACTTGCGCAGGAAGTGTCTGCAGTGCGAGGGTGGGAGACCAGCCTTGGGAAGCATTCGGGATCTTTGTGGGTCCACGATGCACTCCTCACAACTCAGGAGCGTCTCCAGTGGGAGATGCTCAGCAATGTTTTTGCGAAAGTCTTCTCTCTTCTCCACTGTCACAGACATCCTCAGACAGTCTTCTCTAGGAGTCGAGCTCAAATTGACCAAAGGATCACTATGATGTTGTTTTAAGCAAATATTTGCACTCTACAATTTTATTGTTACTTTACAAATTTAGACCAGCATCCTGAAAGGGCATTACTACAGCTTTACTGAACCTCAGAAGCAAAGGGAAACAGTTTCCCCTGTTTATGAGCAAAGATGCTCTTCTTCAGCCACAGCTGCATCATCTCTATAATCTCTTTAATCACAATTCTTCATCCTAGGGAAAAAATTCCCCTGAAAAAACAACCCACTCGTAAGAAATTTGAAACGATGTCCAGAATGAAGGGAGGCACTTTTCCTCTTACTGACTCCAAATTGCTTGTTTTTGAACAGTTTTGGGGCTCTCTCTGCATTATTTATCCACGGCTCGGATTTGTTTGTTATTTGGCCTGTTAAACAGTTTGCGTAGGCGAGCCACCGCAGCCTCTGTTTGCAGAACACATCTGAATTTGCTGAGCCACGGAGCACTGTTTTACGAGCTTCGGGGCAACGGAGAGCTCAGGGCTGGGATGTATTTGAAATTTCAACTGGCCGCTTACTAGCTGAGTGACTTTGGCCAAGTTTGTCAATGAACCTTTCTACCAAGCCTCAGCTGCCCCACCTGTAAACTGGGATCCCAGGGGTCCCTACCTTATCAAGTTGTTGTGATACTTGGGCATTCTGATTCCTCCCCATATTATGTCACTTAGTGGTGCTGCCGGCTCACATACGTTATTTAATCCTTTCATACTTCCCTTTCTCCAGCTGTAATGTAGTAATGAGGTGGTGGTTTTGTCCTTGGCATGCTGTGAGGATAAACTGCATGATTATTCCAAGGAGCTCTGTGAAAAACAAAATTGTAAAATACTACCCTTGTTTTTCTAAGATGATATTCTTTTGAGATGATAGTTGTTAGAACAAAATTAATGACCGAAAGCTACTGTTCTCTTATTCCTTCTTCTTCAGGAAAAGTCCACACTGTTAGCCCAAACTCAGACTCCAGGTTTCTGAGATTTCAGAAATTCATGCAACAAATATCGCGGTCGAGTGAGACAGAGACAAGTTTTTATTAGAAGTTTTAAGAGGGAAAATAAAATCAATCAACTTCAAGGATGCACAAAAAAATAAACATAAGCTTATAAAGATTTTTCCTAATCTATTTTCTGGTTTTAAATTCCATATTTAGTAAAGGTTCCCTTTTATAAAATCATGAAACACATCTGAAGTTATTTTTAGTGTGAAAGGAAAATAAGTTTTTTTGGGAAAAAAGAAATATAGTCGTCTCATTTGATTTTATTGATGTAACTACTTAGTAACTTGCTAAAATTTCTTTTTCTGCTTCTTTTTTTTGGCTTTATTTTATTTCCTCCTCAAATAGAAAATGTTTTACTCATTTAAATGGCACATTTTAGACTCTTCAATCTCCTGGAGGAAAGACCATTATGTTTGGAGGGTTGTTCACAACAAAATATTATTGGTTTTAGAAATGCTATTTCATTCTTTGGTGACAGTGTTCCAAGCTGGATTATTTGAGTTTTACATACGGAGTTCATCATATGGCACTGTAAGATGTAAAAACCGCATTTCGATTGTGTAATTGTATAGGTGCCCACTTGAACTATGCCAGAATCTCAATCACTCCATGAGTATTTCAGCTTCAGGTGGGGTTTGGGATAAATGACATCTTGGGTTCCTTCATGTTGCTTCTACTGGATATGTTACGTACCATGTGCTCTGTAACACATTTGATGTTGTACAAACTCTTTATTTCCAAATCCTCAACTCCTCCTCTGTGAAGATACTTTCATTAGTTTATATTATGTTTTTTGGCTAAGCTCTAAGGCTAAAGTCAAATTTCTTAATTCAAATACCAGGCATTTAACTTAAGCTCCAGTGGGAATGTATCTAAAACATGCATTTGGGTTTGTCGGTTTATAAGTTTATTCACTCATCCTCTCAAAAACAGTCATGAGCACCTCTTAGAGGAGTGAGGGCTGAGTTCGTCAGCCCAGGCCATGCCCTCCCGGAGCACCGGAGCACCGCTGATTCAGGAGTTTTCAGAGAGGTGAGGGAGGAAGCTAAGGAACTATGGGGCTTTGGGGGAGCGCGGAAGAGGGCACCCTCCCACATATGGGGAGGTGGGGAAGCTTCCCTAGGAAGTGACCTCTACCAATCCACCATGTTCACTTTACCACACTGGGCTAGATGACTGGCAAAGACAAACGTTAAGCCCTACTTTTGGGAAAAGACGAAAGAGCAGGAGTCCAGATAACTTGACTTTATTGAAAAAAGAAATACCCCAAACCACAATGCTTCAAACACTTCGGAAGATGAGACTTGATTATGCATATGAATGTAGGGCACCCTTTATAGAAATCGCCAAGCAGACAGAGCCTTGACATCCACATCTTTATATTCTAAATATTCAAGGTGATGGTAGATGATGGACTGCTCAGCATTTGATTTCACAGCCTGTGCAGACTCAGTGTGCTGAATTTGATATTTTGAAGGTACAAGAAGAGTGTATTTTGGAAATCCCAGACGTTTAAAGAATGCCTTTAAATTAGCCATCTGCTCCATGCACCTTCTAAGGTGACTCCCAGATACCCTCAGTTTTTAAATGAGCACCAGAGCATGCAGATGCTAACATCCTGACCTGGGGTTGGCAACGCAGAGGTGCACACAGTCCAATAAAAACTGACGGGGACTCCGTCCACCCAGGACGCACGCGGCAGTGGCCTCCGGACCCAGTGACCTTCTCTGCATAATTCAACTGTGGGAGTGGGAGAGCCTGAAGCTTCCTTTAATGGAAGATCCTAATTTCGGATCTGGGTGGGTCTGTACTATTAGCAGAAAAACACAAATCTTGCATTGGTAGAAAATGTGACAAATCTTAGCATTTATTTTAGAGCTTGCAGTCTGGAGGTTTTCTCTTTTTAAAAGACAGAAAACTGCCTGAATATTTTACTTATGTCTCTCCAGTTCCCTTCACAGACCTAAAAATAAATTAACCATTCAATGTGATTCTTAGCTCCAAGGCCAGCTTCCCAAACTGTATTCATAAAGACACTGCTGAATGATTTCACTACCTTTTAGAACATATATTTTTTCTAATAATCCAAAAGCTGTATTACAACAGAACAAGCTGGCAGTTCCAGGAGATTTAAAGCCCAACGAATAACTCAGCAATATTTTGACTCTAGGCCAGTCTGTCCTGTCCAACAACAAGTTACCATTAGCCCATGAGGTCACAGTGGAAGGCTGGGCTGGTGATCACAGAACACAAGTGAGCAGAAACCTATGGCCGCTCATCGAAAATCTTTCCAGATCCATTCAATGTGAAATAAGAAAAAAACCCAAGGATGTGTATTTGGATTAAAAAATGGGAAAAAAGGAGTTTTCTTAGTAACAAAGAAATCTGGCTTTTATTCTGCACATTCAGGTTTCATTTCATTGACTCAGGGTGTCCTTGATTAAAACAAACTGTGCTTGATTCGAACGTGCCAAAAATCTGTTCTTCTCCTTGCCCTCTCCTCCCACTTTTTTGGAATCAAACAAGGAAAAAGCTTCCTTGCTGTTGCTCGCCGCAGGTTAACAGCACCTGTGTTCTGATACACGGCGCAGGCTGTCTTCCCTGGCCCAGTGCTAAGTTAGGATATCAGCCTGGAAGGTGACACAGCAGGAGTGACCTTTCACTAATCACTGCGCCTCAGTTACTACTGACACAGCTCATTATGAACAGAAATCCTTCATGAGCTGGCTTTCAAATCCAGTCACACTTTGATTTTCTCAACAACAAAGATTACTCTTTCATATACAAGCGCCCAATGCACAATTCTGTCAACTGGGGTACTAACGTCAGAAAGGCACCCTGTTAATTGTCTGTGGTTATCAAGGGACTGCAGACTGTATCAAAGGCAGGCCTGCAATCTTGGCTTTCATTACGGAGCTCAGAACATTTTTAGTGGCTGCCTATTATTAAAATTTTAGAGGGATGTCAATCATTTTGACTGCCTCGGATATAGGAATCCTTGTTGGAAATTCCCCAGTAATCAATCCCATTAAAAAACGAAACAAAAGAACTCTTGAGTATACTATGCAGAATTTCTCAGCCCCCTCATTTCATAACTTGGAAATGCCAGAGGTAGGGGTGCAGCTGACTCTAATTTTCACACTTAAGCCAGAAAGCAAAGACACTGGTAATGACTCTTAGTTCTTCTTTTTTCCTGCTTCTTTTTTTTGCCCTCTGAACGCACCCCCACTTCAGACCACAGCATGGTCAAAGGCAAGGCACGGTTCATGACTTACCAGCCATCTGCTGAATACCACTGAATGCACCCAGGTTGCTGGAGGAGGTGGCCTGCTGCAGGAGCTGCAAAGGAACGCCAAAGGGACGTCAAAGGGGCGTCAAAGGGGCGTCAAACCAACGGGGAGATGAGGACAAAGGGACTTCCGAATTAAACTGCGGGCATATCCAATCTTTGACATTCACATAATTGGTGGCTGCTGCCTATTGATGGACTGAAGGTTCCCAGAGTTGGGGCTGTAAATCCATATTAATGTCTAATCTCTATTAAGATACGCAGACACTGGGGAAACTCAGTAACACCGCTGCCTTAAAACAATTCGTCAATTTACTCTTTTTCACAACCAGGTGTTAACTCCACTAAAACCAAAATGGCGTGACTAATGCTATGTCTCTGTAGCCCACTAGTTACCGTAACTCGTCTCTGTCAGTCAAGGTCTATCCCTCGCTCTCTTCCACTTTCCTTCACAGCCCAGTTTCCTCCATCCTTCATTAGAAGCACATGGATTCATTGACTCTTGGGCAGACAGAGAAATCATCACGGTAACTACAGACATAAATGTGTCTGTTCACAGCCATACAGTTACAGCTGTGACTACACGACCAAGACAACGGTCACTCATTTTCAGAAGTCTTCCCTGGCAGACAGAAACATACTATTTGTCAAAACTTAGAAGTAGCTGGTGCTAGGTACATCGACACCATGCATTATAAATGTTAACATCTTTTAAAAAAGAAATTAACATACCTGTGAAAAGGTCTCGGCATTTTTTGCCTAGAGCTTTTTTTTTAAGGTATAATTTATTGGGTTTTTTCTTTTCACCTTTGGACCTCTTTCACCCATTTCTCCCATGCCTCACCTAGAACTTTCAAAAACACATTTTTTCCCCCATGCAGAATCAGTAGGTTCCACCACGTAAGGGCATGTGGCTGTTCTGAGGTGTTTATTTGCCTAATTCAGTTGAATTTTAGGTTAATGGAGGTGCTATACTGTTTGACCACTTATTGGTATTCTCTTTTGGTAACGTAGATCAATATAGACATAATTTGTATGTGGGAGCAAGCACATAGTTATCTCCTAAACTCAAATGTACATGGATATCAAAAAGCACAGATTCACCAAATTTATTATTAAAATATTATTATTAGGATACGTTGTGCTTAGGAGGAACAAGACGAATTCACTATTTTAAGAACAGCTTGCAGAATTTATTTGGAGCTCTGCAGAACAGAATGTGGAGCACTATCGTTCCTCTGGCTAAGTGGAGGTCTCTGCAGTTCGAGAAGAAAACTCCACGGTAAATAGGACTCAAAAATGGGCATCTATCAGTTGACCTCAAAGCTTCAAGTTGGGTAGAAGATCAGTGGCTGATGACCTAAGTCTCAGGTACAATGATGCTGTGAGGATTAACAGTAACAGGTACCAGAAGAATGTCTGTAACGTTCGCTCATGCTTCTCAACTCATTGGAATATATTATCTAGGTGTCTCACACACACACACACACACACACAAGAAGAGGGTGAGGAGGAGGGAGAAACTAGGGATTATGCATTTTGATAGAAATCCCTTATTTTGGTTTGATTTCTTGGCTGTCCTGTTCTCTTGTGATTGTAAACCCTTACTCCCTCCTCAAATTAGATATTTAAAAAAATTAAACTAAAATTGAATTACCTTTGAAGACGTTTTTAGGAATTTGTAATGCCTACTGAGGTAAATGGAGAAAGCTGGAGCATCATTAAACTATTACCTAGGCTTCTTTCCGCTGACAACCATTCTCGGGTGAGCCAGAGGCGGGGAAGGGCTTACAGGCCAAAGGCTCTTTCAAAGAAATGGACTTCCAATTGAAAGCAGTAGAACAAACATGGCGGAGAAAGAATGGAAGCCCTCATAGGAGAAAACATCATAAATAGCATATAAAAATGTGTTTTTATAAATGAGGCTGAGATTAATTCTCTTTTAGGGTACAGAAATAATTTGCAGATGAGATCAAAGAAACACGTGCCCGAGATTTTTGTGAGCCGTGGGGCATGGGAGATGTGCCAGAAGACCGGAGACAGGCACATGCGTCTTCGTTTTGAGAAATGGTGGAGCGGGAAGCTGGATTCTTAGAAGTGACAAAAAGGTGAGCTTGACATCAATCTCTAATAAAAATTCTGGCATACGTAATTAAACGTGGCCTGTGAACAACTGAAAGCCCAAGTTTGTGAAAAATAATTATTAAGCTAGACTCATTTCTTTTTTCATAAAATTTCTAGACTGACAGACCAAGAAAGAGGTGTGGCAGAGCATATATAGATTTTAGCACGATATCATGAAATCGCTCATGGTGTCTTTGTGGATACGATGGAGAAATGGCGAGAAGATGACAGCAAACTCAGTCAATGCTTCATCAATGACTCAGATGAAGACCGGAGAAGGATGCTTCTCCTTCATTAACTAGACATCAATTGAATAGCTGTTACATGCCAGGCGCCACTAGATGCTGGGGGCAGGGTGGTAAAAAGAGGAATATGAGCCGTATCTGTCCTCAGAGTCGCAGCATGGCAAGATAAAGAGAACACGCAGAGGGCTGAAATCCCGCTTGACCACAAGCAGCACGATCTTGGGTAAAGTTACGGAAGGTCTTTGGGCCTCCTGTTCCTCATCTGTACAACAAGCAGGGTGATCCGACCTTTCAAGGCTACGGTGAGGACTACTTTACAGAACAGGAAGGCTCTACAAAGTAAGGCCCAGGGATCACCCATCCAGAGAGGGACAGTCAAAATGTCAAATGAAAGAATTAGGACACAACACAAACACACACACCCTGACAGAGGCTGGAATAAAAGGGCTCCTCTCTCAATCTGATGTTATATTAAAAAATGGGAAGTCCAGCATTTAGGTTCCAAAGCAGAAAAATGAGAGAGAGGAGCATGGTTTAGCAGTAATTCATGTAACAATAAATAAAAACTGAGAGAATTAGCTGCCTTCCATCTTGTATGTGGCATGGTTACTAAAAATGCCACGCTCAAGCTACATGACGATATTTTAAAGTCCACACTAGGGGTCTCTGCTCCGTGCTGTTTAGATCTTACTGAGGGGATTGCCTTAAATTCTCGTCGTCGTATTTTAAGGAAGACACTGCCACAGTGAAATGGGTAACACGAGGGGAAACAGGAAAGTTTAGAAACAATGAAATGTAAGAGATGGCTGAAAGAATTGGGTCTATTTGGAGTGAAATAGGATCTAACTTTTTGGTTTCAAAGAGACAGAGTAAGAAACATTTGATTTCATCAGCACAGCTCCCCTGGGAAGACCCAGGAGCACTGAATGGAAGTTCCACGGGGCTTCATTTGAGGTCCTGGTGTGGACTGGACGAACCTGCAGGGTAGTGAGCTCTCCAACCACAGCTGCCTCCATACCGTTAAATAGCCATCTATCAGGCTTGTCACGCCCCTTCTAATGCAGGATTTTAGGATGCCTCTGAAACACTGGTTAGAAACTCAGTCTTGTGGGACTCCGCTCAGCCCACATCAGGCAAGAATTAAATTAGTCACACCCTTATGCTAATCAATTTAACTTGGAAAAACAGTCTGCATCAATGCTGATTTCAGTCATTTCCTGAGATTGAAAATGTCCCTAAAATGAATTTTTTAGCGTCCTTAGGGGACAAGTAGGTTGTCAGAGTTACAGTGGGCAGGCTCCTCTCTCCTGGGACCACACGCTGACTGGCCTTCTCCAGCACTTACCGCCAGGTACTGCGGGGTGAGTCCGCCCAGACCTGTCAGGTTCCCCCAGGTGGCAGTGTTGAGCTGTTGCATCTGCTGTGCCAGCTGCTGCTGGAGGCGCCTTTGCTCTTTGTCCTTCTGAGTGTCAGCGAACTTCACCACGATGGGTGAAGAGCAGCCCTGTGGTCAGACACAGCGGAAAGCGGAGAGGGAGTTACAGCCTGGTTGAATCCTCTCCTGATACTCAGTCAGCACTGCCTCTAGCTCTCTGAACTATCTTGGAGCACATGGAATGGTCTGGAATGGTTTTAAAGTGGTTTGATATTCCTTCTTCTTAAGAGTACCATCAAGAGAAAATTCCAGATACTGCCACTGGTTTCTCTGGGGATCTGGTGGTCGGTGAAGCCATTTGCTTTCTTGCTCTGATTACTAAACTGCCTCTCCTTCTGTCTTCGTGTGTCTTCCTGCAACCATCTCAGGACCTCCTCAGAGACCAGAGACCTTATCACTGTTCTTAATTATGCTTCCTGGTTCGCATGTCTGAAAGATGGACTTGTCTTTGTGTCTGCCTGTTTCCAAATGTGATTAAGGGACAAACACAGGGAGAGTTGTAATGGCAGTGAAAATGTCTCTCATTCATTCATTTGTTTTTTCACTCTTTCCAATTTTCAGTTATGCTTTTTTGTTGTTGTTGAGGAAGATTTGCCTTGAGCTAACATCCATGCCAATCTTCCTCTGTTTTTAGTATGTAGGCCACCAGCACAGCATGGCCGCTACCAGAGAGGTGTAGGCCCACGCCCGGGAACCGAACCTGGGCTGCCGACGCAGAGTGTGCTGAATGTAACCACTAGGCCACTGGGGTTGGCCCTGCTTACACAGTTTTGAACTTTGAAACTATGGGAATTGTGTTGATCCAGCAATATAATCGGGAGAGATGGATTTCATTCAGGAACATGGATGAAGGAAAGAGATAATCAGAGAACATAAGTATTGACCAACATAATTGTTCTCATGTTTTCAGAAAGGTCTCTCTTCCTTCTGTGTCATATCTACTATATCCGCGATCCCCAGAGCTACTGGAAACCAAAAAAACCAGAATGCTAGTCAAAGGAGATGGTCTTAAATGGCAGAGGGAGGATCCTATTGGCTTCCTTTCCTAATGAATTTCACCATTCTAGAAGCTTCTTTCAGTTTTCACTTCCTTTAAAAGGCAAGGAGTAGGCGTATTGAGGGAGAAACAGCCAAGTGTCATATAATAGGACAAATTTAAGTTTGTGAGAGGGAAAATCATCAGGGAGACTAAGGGCCTCACGCCTCAAGCATGAAGACTTCCTTTCAACAGCACCTTTCAAACATTTCCCACTTGCTCAGTACTCAGCAGAAACACGCTCTCCTCCCTCCCCACTCTCTTCTTCTCAGAACACCTTGCCTACACATTTCATCACAATTAAAGCTGCTAAATTTTGCTGAGGTAAAAAAAAGTAATTCTACCCAAGTGATTAAAAAGAAAACTTTGATCGAAACTCAGCATGATAATAGACCTCTCTCTCTCTCCTCTCAGAAATTTTATATTCCTATTTAAATGAGCTTTTCCCTTCCTTGGGGTCATTTTTCTTTCTCCTAGAAAACAAACTTGCTTTATTTATTTATTTTTTATCACCTTGGGTAGGTATTGGGATGTAGCTGTGAATATGCAAGGCTGACTTGTCTGTTATGACAAAAAAAAAAAAAAAAAAAATGTGTGACAAGTGAGGTGACAGTTTCGGGGTGAACTTGCAGCCTGTGGGACTTCAGCTCTGGCGGCCACAGTCACAGGCCAGAATGCTAAACTGCATAAAAGTGATATTTCCACCATTTGAAAAATCTATACTTCATTCTTCTTCATGTGCTCCATACTTCAGCACTTCATACTTTAAAGAGAGCAAAATACTCTGAAGATGGAAATTATACAGAGAAAGGGTTTTGCATGGGAAAGGGTTGTTATTTTGTATCAAATCTGCTCCATAACAAATTATAGCACTTCCTCCTAACAGGACATTTACGGTTGTTTTTTTCTTCCTTAAATACCAAAAAAAATGATAGAAAAGCAGAATATTAGGCCAGTGGATTACGGCTCAAGAATAACTTGTTTCAACCATGATGGGAAAAATGGGACGGGGACAGATTGGAGGAAAGTGGGGAAACAGAAGGTACAATATAAAAATTAATTCTTCTTAAGAACGTGTCCTTCTAAACGTTAACATCCACATCATTTTGAACTCAGATCTCTTAGATAATTCATCTTGGTTAAAGCTGTGAGTCAGAGGCCTGAAAATAACAAAATTAGTTAAAAAAACCCCCAGTTGTACAACTATAATGTGATTGCCTAATATATAATCTTCCATTTAAATGTGAGTATTTTTTAATTAAACAAGAAATTTAAGTGTCTGAGGGCCCCTTTATTTAAGCATGGATGTCCACGTTTAAAAACAAGTGCAAATTTGATATTTTATAATAGAAATATGAAACGAAAGATCCAGGATTTCTTATGAATAAATACACCCCATTCTCTCTAGCAGATTCTTGTCATTCTGAGAGCCTATTATTTCTCGGTTTGGGTTCATACCCAGTTCTGCTTCATGTTCTTGAGCTCTCCTTCTGTAGGAACACAGGAGAACACAGACCCCCACACCAGCATCTCTGTGGCTTTACTGGAGGGGGAGCCCTGAGTGAGGAAGCTGGGGTAGCAGTATTTCTAACAGAGCTGAAAGGATTTAGGTTAAAAAATTATCTAAGGTGAGACCAAGTTAGGTACAAATCACTAAATCACTGGAAATGAAATAATAAGAATGAAACACATATATGGAAGATAATAAATACAGGTAAAGACTTTCCTTTTCCTGACAGCATTTTCCTTTTAATCTCCAAACTGAAATTTAGCTAGAAATGAGACTGATCCACAAGAATGGAGCAGCCTAAGTTAGGGGAAATGGGAACAAAAACATGGTCACATAGGTAAATGCATGTCATACAAGATTAGATATTTCAGATCCTGCTAATTATTTCCTATCATGGCTGATTTTCACCTGAGCTTGCCTTCAGGTGTGTGTGTGCAGGGGTGTGAGTGTCTTAAAAATGCATTGCACTGAAAGGAAAGCACAGTGATTATATAAGATATGTTAGGAATATCAAAGTCAAAATGAAGTTCGAAAAAGACAATAGGCTTTGCAATGCTGATATCAAAACTCAGAAAAGTACAGTAAACACTTAATGACAATGCCATGCACACTCCTTTCCCCCCTTCCACCCACCTTGTGGCTCGCTATAAAAAATCGCCCACAAAACATGACGCATAATGATCACTTAGCTCCCAGCATGCTTTGGGAGATGCAGCATTGCAAAAAACAAACAAAACAAACAAACAAAAAATAAACCCCCCAAAAAACGGAGGTGAAAAAAGAAGCTCAATCAATAAAGAAATATTGGCACATTAAATAAAATTGAAAAATTTTTTTTTCTCAAAAGAGGAAAAACATAACTTCAGATAACACCACAAGGCCACCTCTGGAAAAAGATCACCCATTCACAAAGATACAGTATACATAATACAGCAGAACATGCACTCCCAAATGGTTCTATCGGACAATACAGAATCAGTAACAGCGTATCACTCTCAGAATGCTTTTGTGCAAAATTCTGAAGGGCTGTGACCCAAATCACAGACTGAAAAGTACAGCCCATCTATCTACATGTGTGGGCGAACACCCACACCAGCATATTTATCTTCCCCTAAAGCCACTATCTCTCATTAGGAGACCAAATTTGAGCCTTTATGTTTGTTATGGTTCATTTTTTCAAGAGGAGACAAATCTAATTTTTCAGGGGCCTGTCATCCATTAAGATTTTCACTGGTTAAATGCAGTGGGAGAAGTATTAACTTTCTCCAACATTCTTGATGCAAAAACCCAATTCTGTTGGACTAGATAAAGATAACTCGACCCCACATTTACAAAAAAGACAGGAAGAAGAAGAACCTTGTGAGTTAGGACAGGGGCAAGCTGCAATTTGGAGTGGGGCTGTTAATCTTGACTCCACATCACCCTGGGCTGGGGGACGTACTGCATCCTTTACGTACAGAACGATACTTGGCTTAAACTGCATCACGACTTTACATTGCAGGACCTGGGCCGCTGCAATCAAAGGCTCGAAAAATAATGTCGAACAAGCGGAAGGTTTTCCTAAATGCATTTCAAGTCATTAGGGGAAAAATTGAGAGAGAGAGAGAGAGAAAGAAAGAGAGAGAGAATGAATATGAATGAATGAAAAGAGAGATGGTGAAAGTTGAAATCTGTGATTGTCATGTGAACAATCCACACAGGAGAGAATCGCTTTACCATTCCCCATCATTTGCACAAAGAAAACAAAGAAAGGGCAGATGATACAGTACCTCCATGGTCTGAGACTGATGCATGGCTTTGATTGCATTCTGTGCCATTGCCCTTGTAGAAAATGTGACAAACGCACAGCCTGTGGGAAACAAGGGACAGGGAGCAGGAAAGACAAAAAAACAACAAGACAAAAGGGTTGGACGCTTGTTAAACCAACACAGTCTACGAGAACTGCCACAGGACGCCACTGTTCTCAGTAGTACATAAAAATAAACAACTTCGCTCTTTGGTTTTATCTGATTTTGCTTTTTACTCACAGTGCTGACTTGCTAATCTGACCAAAGCAGAAAGATTTATCTATTGATTAGTTTCTTTTTTTAAATGGAGACGAGGGTAAGGGATTGGGGTACTTTTTTTTTTAGCCATGGGGGTTTAAAAGGAGCAACATCTAGTTTGCATTTTCTAAAATAAAAAGTTGCGATTTTACATTTTCTCCTTGGCTGATTATCTTTACTCAGGGCATCCACACGTTAGGAACTTTGTATTTCAAATTTTAGCATTGATTTTTAAGCAGCAAATAATAAAATGCTCACACCAAGGGCAAATTAGCGAATAAATTTCCAAGAGCTTGAAATGTCAGCAAATAAATGTATCTAATCTCTTCTGGGTCGTTAAGAAATATGTATGTATAAATATACATTGATGCTATTCAAATGCAAACAAACATACCAAATCCTGCACAAACTATTTAGTAATTATTAATTAGGAACAAAAACAAATGCTCTATTACTCTGAGAATATTCAACAGTGCATATAAAGTAAAATGTAAAAATCTGCATTAGCTTATTTATATAAAATCTTCATGACTTTTGCAAGTTGCAACTTTCTGATATGTATCAGAGATTTGACCTAAAGTCTAGCACACCCAAGACAACATACATTTCTCTAAATGTCTCCTGTGAGACCCATCCAGCTTCCCACGGCTATTTTTTTCATGTGCTGTAAAATAACTAGAATCTACAGTGCCTGCTCCTGCTCCTTGTGCAGCGTTGGCCACCAGGCAGGTCACTGCTCCAACTACATGGCTCATTGCCCTTTTCACTAATAAAAACAGTGCCTTCTGAAATTTACATTTTATTCATCATGCACCCTTGGGCTTCTTAGAGAAAAAGACTGTGAAATTAATGCAGATTCAGGCTGATTTTATAATAATACCACAGCACACTAAAAGCTTAGCTAAAGCAACGCAGACTTATTTCACTTATGATCTCTAATGACTTTAAAAGTGCATTGATTTTCAGCTTCTTTAGCCTTGCACAGTTTGAACTTAGGTATCAGAGAATAATTTAGTGTTCCACTCAATTTCCTCAAGACATTATTATTATTACTACTTAAAAGATTTCCAAATGAAGCAGATCTAAACACCAAGAGGCTGCAGCCTGTTGTCATCTCAGAGTGGATGCGTGAAAGTGGAATTCAGGCATCAACAATGCGAGATTGTTGCCCCTGTGGCCAGGAAGCCAGATAGAACGTTCTACACCCAAACAACCCACAGATTGTTTGGTTTCTGTAAATCAATTTGTGAGCCATAAAATAAATTATCTTCTTTTGCTCTGCATATGTACCTGGTGAGATTATCAAGTCAATACTGTATTAGCACCTTTTCATCAAACAGCAATAAGAGAAAGCAATGTGTGCCCATCACCCCCCAAAGCACAAGAACATCCAGTCATGAAAATAAGTCAATGCATTTTTTTGCATCATGCTGTAATTTTTAATACACAAAAACTCTCAGTACATGGGAGATTCATGTCACATTCACCTCCTGGGTAAGCTGGCCTTATGAAGCCTGAAGTCTTATCTCGCTAGCTATGAATGCCAAGCTGTTTCATATAGTTCCCTGACACTATAGTGGCTGGTGAAGCTTACTATTTAAACATGCTACCTGTCCTTATACTGGCTGTAGCTTTTGTCATCAATAAAAGCGATTTATCGGCCTTCCCTAAGGCATCTAGATGATGTGTGTAATAGGGTGTGAGACAGATGACGGGACCTCTACTGGCTTCCATATTGAGACTCAGCTTTAAAATTAGAGAGTCCCAAATTTAACATCCATTTCCAAGTAATATCTCTTTAAAACATTGGGATGATCACCGACATTATTAACAGAGGAAATCACTCGAAGAGATTTTTCTTTTTCCATTTCTTATCTTGAGACCAGAATGGAGGCAAAAGAAGATCATCTCATGGAGAGAGATTTGAAAGCGTGTGAGCCTGGACTAACTCTGCTTTTAAATCATCAGGAAGATTGTTGTATTCACTTCGTTTGCTCTTATTATCCAGAAACACGTGCCAAACTGACAGTTTCCAACTGGAGGTTAAGAATGCATAAAAAACATACAAAATGTCAACAAAATCCATAAGGCACACTTTATGCATTTACCACAATTTCAAAACAAGCAGAACTTTTGTAAGTAACTTAGTGAGAAAGATACAGCAATTAACAGGTCTCAAAAGAAAAGTATTAGCAATAGAACAATAAAACTATATCTCTATAAATTCAAACCACTGCCCTTTCCTTTATAAAACCTGCAATTAACAGCTCTTCTAATTATACAATCCTTAGCCCATCTAAAAAAATGATCTGACAAATCTGATGACTTCTTTAACCTTTTTATTCTATTGGCAGCGGTACAGGGAGAGAGAGCGCTCACCTCCTTAGGGGCTCTGTCAAGTCTGCATGGTGTGCTGTGTCCAGTTACTTAAGAGAGAAGATGACTGTGTCATTTATAAGGTGAGAGTGTAGATTGAAAAATTTTACTCTCCATGCCACTCGGGATGAAGTTAAGCAACTGCAGAACCAAATGTTTCATGGGTTGGTAGCTTGTTAACCTTTGTAATTTCTCTGAAACAGGAGGTCATGGTATAGTCCTGTGGCTGCATTTTAATTTTCTTTTCAACACCACTGAAAACAATGTGGTTGCTTTAGGACGAGGCCTCAAGTCTGTGGCTTTTCACTAACATAGGGTCACAAAAGTTCCTACCACCAAGATTTGTTGCTGGCTGCTCCTACAAGTCAACTAGATGACTCTCTATGGGACGGAAATAACTTAGGTCTTAATTGTCCCCTTCTTCCACCCAAAACCCAAAAATGGGCTTCTGGATGCAGTGGAGTTCATTGGGTCTTGACAGAACAACTGCTCTGATCTTGTAGGGTCAGCTTTTAACTGTTCTAGACTATTATAGGGTCAGCCCTTAACTGTTCTAGACGGTTGTATGTGCTATCTCAGCAATCAGTTCTCCGGCTACTGACCAAAATGCCGGAGAAACTAGATTCTAGGGGAAAAAAAAGATACAGGTACCCAAATAATGAAGCTACATTTTTTTGGGGGGGGGGGTGTTTAGGTAAGATAGCTTGGATATTACTGTCTCAAAGCCTTTATACATAGGATAGAATAGATAAAAAAAATTCTATCAATGTGGCCAACCTGTAATTTACCTTGCAATTATTTATTGTCTCAACTTTCAGAATGTCAGAGATTGCTAATAGAAATGAAAGGGGCTGAATTCCTCTGATTTCGGTGAGGTTGCCTTCTTGCTGCTAAAACAGATAAATGATTGACTAGGGAAAGGTTTCTCAAAGTAATTTCCTCCCACAGACAAGATCTAAAGAAAGCATGCAGCCCTGTCACAGAGAAGATTCAGGAACACATCTATTACACCTGTCATTTCAAATGAAAGGATCTCTTAACTCAGGTGTTCTACCTTTTCTCTTGGCTGCAAGAGAATTTTGCAAGAACTAGATGAATTCTTGCTCTGTACACCCTCCCCCGCCAAAACAAAAAGGTGCAGGTACTTTTAAAAGCTCAAACAATGCCTGGGTCTCTTGCTTTTCCGCTACTTCTTTGAAAGAGGAGCCTGCTATATTTCAACTGCAAGAAGCATCATTTAAAATAACTACAGCATGAAGGAGATTTCAACCTATGGAAAACTTGTTTATAAATTCCCATCCAGCCAAAGAAGGATCTTAATGCAGCCAGTGCTCCTCACTGTATCTTTCTGGCAGTGGCAGGGTTGATTAAACATGTGCTGTCAATATGATATTGGAGCAGCAAAATTAAAACTCTAATGCACCATCCCTAATGTTGGGTTAGTTTATTCAAAATTGGCACAGAGACATCATTCGTCCATGGCACTGAAGGCTGAAGACAGACTAAGACTCAGCAGCTGGCCAAACTTCATCCCTGAGATGAGCCTGGAAGATTGTATTCCGAGCAGGATGACAAGAGGCAGTTAATAATCTGGGAGGTATTTGAAAAAAAGTTTCCACATATCTAAATGTTTAGGTACCAAGTGGGCAAGACGAAAATGCCACCATCAAAACTTGAGTCCCTCTGTGTACGTGTTTGAAAAGTCAAAAGCCCTCCCCTGATATCCTGATCAGATAGAACAAAAACAAATGAGGATTTAATGGCCAAATCCAGTCTGTGCTCACCAACATCTCTGCAAATATTGCCAATTCATTTGTCAAGGGTTTTGGCAGGAGAATGCTGGAACACCATAAACACAGCTGGAATATTCTTAAACAAGCAGAAAGTTACCTTAAATGGTAATGAAGATTTGACTACAGTTTATGAGTAAGAAAAATGAAATAAACTCCATTGTCTCTGAGTTACAGATATTCGGTTGTCATGGTGCAGAAAACTCTGTGGATTGCACCCAAACAGTCCATGCTGACTGGGGATTATGGGTAAGTGAAAACGTGTATTTTAGGAAATCAACAAGCTAAGGTGACACCGTCAGATAAATGCATTGGCTTAGAAGCCTCAAGCTTTGACTGTGAGAGCAAACATGTTATTTGGCTTGCCACGTGTGGGCTCCTAGTCTCCTGCTCACATTCTCAATGAAGGCTCAGACAGGAGGCCTGGGAGGTCAATCTGCCATTGCAGAAGGATCTGAGAATCCTGAAGGGGCTTGGAAGGAGCTCAGATGAGGTCTTTCAAATTAGAAAAAGATGGCAGAATGGGTTGCTGCCCGCAAAGGGTAAAATGCACATTCAGATGTGGGCACAGAGCCCAAAGAGAAGACAAGTCCTCATATTTGTTGAGTGGCTTCATCATGCTTGGCAGGTGGTAGGTGCTGTCCGTGTACAGTCATGACAATTTCTGGGGGGTGAGGGGTCTATCTTGGGACATGGCACAGATCTAGGTGCTGGTGAGTAACCGGCACCTAGACTTTGAAAATAGTCTTTCTCGCCAAAATGTAGATTATGAGGTTTTTTTTTGTTTTTGTTTTTGTTTTTAAGACAGTGATTCTAACTGAAAGCACAACAGGGCTTGACAGGTACAAAGCTGTGGGTCCTGGCAGCTCACTACTCTGATTCAGTGGGGGGTACTGAGTCAAGAAGCCTGGAGGAACCTCAGCTTAATACCTATTTGGGAGGAATTTAAACTACTGATGTGGCAGAGAAGAAACGACATGAGAAACCTGTGGGGGAGGCTGCCATACTAATTGCCTCATTTGTCTTCATTCTTGTAGCTGAACTGGGCAGTAGCCAAAAAAAAAAGGGACCCACCAACCCAATGGGCACCTGCCCCTCATCATCATCAAATGGTTTGATCTGAAACTTTTTTATTGACTGGCTTATACCCTGGGTTAGTATTAGATGGTACTTCTCAGAGCAGCCAAGCTTTCATTTCACTTAATTTTATATATTTATTTTTTACACAGCTGAGCCAGCAACAGGCAGGGAGACCAGAAATGCTGAGTGCCCTTTATCTGCAGTGCCATTAATGGGAGACACTTATTAATATTTGATTGAAAACTGCAATTCTTTAATGAAAGCAAAATAATGGCACGAAAGAGAATTGTTCTGTTAACAAATACACTGATTCAGGAGCAGTCCCCCTGTGCCCAGGGGTCCCAGGGTCCTGCTAATTGAAAAACCTACCACTGTCTGTCTTTCTATTTCAGAACAAATGGTTATAAATGAGTAATTTCTTTTTTGCCATAGGGAATCTCACCAGTTCACCAGAAATTACTTTTGTTAAAAAAAAGGAGGAGTTCTACTCTTTACATTGGGCCAGAATTTGCATAAAATATTGATGAAAGAGCTCCCATAAGTTGTTTCAGAATTAAGGAGCTTCTGGTGTCCAATGCTGGTTCATCAACCAAATGGCAGATCAGATTAGCCAAGTTCTCTTGTCAAGTACTGTGTCCTGCTCTTTCCTATGAAAGTTTTGGCTGCTTTAAAAACTCATCTACAGAAATAACTCATGTATGCTCAAGGAGCTCTAGATGCTGCAGGCCCCACTGCTAGTCATTACTGTCCCCACCAAGAGGGAGAGTCATTGCATGGATCGGCCCAGACCAGCAGTGGGAGAACAGAAGTCAAGCATCCACACTTCACAGTCAAGGTCTCCACTAAACCACACGGATGGGGCGCTTGTCCCCAAAATCTACCAGAGCGGGAACTAAGGATGCCCTATGAGATGAGCAGGGTGGCTATTGTGACTGCTGCCATTTACGAATGGGGAAACTGAGGCATAGAGCTGGGAAAATGAATTATCTACGGTCACATTTCATGTCAGGAGAAGTTCTGGGACTGGACCCTGTGGTCTCTGACCTCCACGCCACTAGAAACGTCTCTTGGAGTAATTTAAGGAACTTTCTCTCTGCTCTTCCTCCATGCTATACGCCTTGGTGAATGAAAAAATGCAATGACAACAGAGAAGTGGGAGTGAGAACAATAACAGGAGAGAAAGGTGGTTCTCATCACTCAATTGGCAAGAGACAAGCGACTGCAAAAATATCGTGTCTTTCCTCTACATTTTCTTCTTCGTTTAGCCACTCTGCCTTTTCCCACGGTGGCAGTGTCTCTCCTGGTTTGTCTGCCTAAGTGGGCATAGAACTGTCGTGACTGTGGTAGCTGGATGATCAGACACGATTAGAAGCTCTCATGGTGTGAAACTGGGAGGATGGCACGGAGGTATGTAGGACAGGAAGCCTAGTATCCTTCTGCCTGTGACGTGGTACAGGAGCCAAATGTTGTGTGGGCCACCAGCACGATGGCCTCTTTAGGTGACACTGGTGATGGCATGAGTGGTAAGCTACAGATTAGCCTGAGGCCTTGGGGCCACTGCTCAGGGATCACACTCAATATCGTGTCTTGCTGAGCTTTCAGAGAGTCATATCTCTTTAACGAGGGCTGACCACCACCAGCTTCAGAAACGTTAGAGAATGCGTCAACTGTGATGTCCATGCTTCCTCCTCTCTTTTTTTGGAAACCACCTTCGGGAGAAAATATAGGGCTCACAAGTTTGGACTGGTTCCACCTCCTTCTACTTTTCCTCTAGACTGTCCCTGTTTTGGGGCTATGGAGGCGGAAGTAGGCAGAAAACTTTTGTTCTCTCTGCCTTCCATTCCAGCAGCTGACATCATGAAGCTTTCAGTCTAAAAGTCAAGAGAACAAATGTTCATCCTCATGTGGTGCTGAATTTAGGTAAAACTAGGGAGACGGGTGGAAATTAATATTTCAACTTAAGGCCCAACTTTTTCTTTCAACATATGGTTTGGGATGGCTGACCCAGACTAGAGATTGGGAATGAAAGACGTTTCTACTGAGCCCCACGGAAATTTCACTGATAACTACATTAACAGAATGAAATCCTCTTCGTGTTGCAAAAATACGGATTTCTTAGAAGAACTGAAAAATGTTTCACCTATGCCTTCACTTCAGCCTCCCTGGACTGACTCAGGAAACTGTAGTCAGACAAGTGTTAACACTCAGTGACAACCCTTATGAGTGGTTCAAGGAAGGAGGTGTGTGGCATTGTCAAGAGGGAGGCGAGCATGGAAAGAGAACAGTTCTTTCCAGTTACCTCGTATAGCTGCTTGCAAAAATACTGGTTTTCACCAACGCCCTGAACCCCAGCCTCTGCTTCTCTTACAGAGACAAAGAGGAACCTACAATCTGCTTCTGGACCAAGTCATTTCTCTGTCACTTAGCGGACTCCCTGTGCTCAGGACTCCAGGAGTTTTGCTCTTTGAAATAAAACCCTAACACCCCGAGACAGGTCTGGTTCCTCTGAGTCCATATCTCTCTGCCCAACTGGGGACCACGGACCTCTTTTTCTTGATTTACATCACTGTCAAGAGGCCCAGCCCTTAACACTTCTCTCAGGCACAGGCAGAGAGTTAGGAGACTAAGATGAAACAACAGATATTCTCTGTCATCCTCTACCTCTCTCCCTCATCCCCCAAAAATCCACTTTAATTTGAGACACAAGGAGGCTGGGTAGCGACAGGGCGGCCTGCCAGCCTCCCATCTGACAGTGATAGCCTGAGCGAATATGTTGGCATTGAGACCTTCTCAACTGGAGAAATAAAAGGTGATCATTTCAGCTTCGGTGAAAAGTTCAGCTTGGATAACTTTATCACACGGGACGGATTACAGGGTAACCTCCTGCTGCGTGCGGTGCCTACAGCTACCTTGACTGTGACACAAAGCTCCAATTAGCACTTAAGGGAAGAGACTTTATAGACACCACACTCACCTCGGCTCAGCCCGTCGGGTCCCCGGAGGATCCGGCATTCTTCTATCTGGCCAAATGGAGAAAACATCACCCTGATATCATTCTCATTACATTTCTTCGAAACCATTCCTATGAACAATTTTCTGTCTTCCACAGCTAGGAGATAAAAATAATGAATGAGCAAAGGCCATTTCATCTTTTTCCTTGTAATCCACGCTTCATTACCACATCAAACCGGGTCCCAGTCATGTGCAACTGAAAACAGGTCCCAAGGCTAACACTGCAGACTTCCAGTCTGCCTTTCTCCTCCACACGTGCCATCCTGCCTCTGCTCTCTCACCTTGCCCTTCCTGAACATTTCATCTCTTTGTGAGCTTGTCCTTACTAATAAAAACCTCTTCACAGGACACGAACTCTGTGAAGTCCTTTCCCCCCATTTGGAAACTCACAGTAATGTGTTTACTAAAATGTGAAAGCTCTGTGTAATTGCTAAACACTATTCCATAGAGATATTTTTGGATACGGATTTTCATTTGGGTTTTTTGTAGATGTTCTTTTAACTTTTAGAGCGACAGGGAAAGAAAAAGGTCAGGAGAGGAGAAACGACAGGAACAGATGTAGGGGAATAGCGAACAAAAATTTTAACAAAGCATTCAACAGAAGAAAACATTCTTCTCCCCTCACTTCACATTGCTTCGTCCCCACTGATCTAGACAAGAATAAGAGATGAGAAGGAAGCTCATTTCTCCAGATAGCTAGTAAATGACCTCCTTTCTGCAGACTGTCTTTGCAGCCGAAACAGGAAAGCACTTGGTCTGCGTGTTACAACCTAAAGAGGAAGGCAATTCTAATGAAGAGAATGGGGCCGTGGCTACTTGAGAATCATGTCAGGTGCTGGCCCCAGGCTCGGGTGACACCCGTAACAAAAAACGATCAAGGAGGGAACAAAACCATTCCACCCACTTGGAGGTAGGATTCTGGATGAGGAGAAATGCACTTTGGGTGTCATGACAACAAGGGGCCAGTTCTAACCCTGGAAGCTGACAGTGGGTAAAGATTACGGACGGCTGACCTCTGATGACCTGGGCGACTGACATCAAAATTGGCATGCTTGTGCTCAGCATACTTGGCCTACACTCAACCCCAAAGGCATGATTATAAAGGATTTCGGGACAGTGCTTAGAACCTTTTTTAGGAGAGAGCAAGACAGTCATAGAAGCCTTTGGGGAGAAGTCTCGTTTATTTCCCATGTTTCACTTCAATCTATTTCTTAGAATTAAAAATAGAAGGACAGCCAGCTATACCAGCACTTCGGAAAATCGTGGCTTAAAGGGCCCTGCCACATACTGCTCATGTATCAGCCTTCGTTCTGTATCTCTAGTGTAATCTCGTCATTGCTATTTAACTGGATTTTATTTCTGTTTCTCTTATTCCTTCCCTGGACAGCAAGTGCCTCATTTTCATTTAACCAACAAGAACGTATTCTAGACCTTCTAGGGCCAGTTGCTTTTGGCCAAAACACATGGCCCGTGCCCTCCAGGAGCTGGGAGAGATCCGTTCATGAAGCAGTAACATAACCCGGGGCGGGTTACTCAGAAGTGGTGCTGACAACAGAACTGGGCAGGAACGGAGAAGTTCTATCTGTGCTGTCTCCCCACTGCAGTAGCTGAAGCCACACGTGGCTCCTGAACACTGAAAAGCGGCCAGCGTGATCGAGGAGCTGAATTTTTAATGTGATTGAACTTTAACTAATTTAGATTTTAGAAGCCACCTGTGACGACCACAGTGGACAGGGCAGCTCTGAGGGGCTCAGGTGAGACGGCTAAACGCCTCTAGTCCTAGGACCCCAGACTGGAAGTGAGAGACCTGAAAGATGTTTCATCCAGCCCTAGAAGAGATCCGAGGCCTGGCAGGGGGAAGGGTCTTGCCGAGGTCTTTCAGCAAGCAGGGGGCCTAACCTGGACCCCGACCTGGCATCCTACTCTCAGCCAGGGTTCTTCTCTCCTTGCTTCCTGCACATCTGGAGGAGGCACACGAGGTTAGAAAGGAGAGCAATGCTGTGATTAGGGACCTAGGTCCTGGTTCCAGTGCTGCCATTACGTTGATGGGTGACCTTGGAGAATGAACTCACCTCTGTGGACCTCAATCTTGTTGTGCATAAAATGAAGGTTTAAACTCTATTGTTCTTCCTTACTCTCTTTCTTAAGCAATGGAGAGAAGGCAGCCCAGCCACATGCTTCAGCTGACTGAGGCACTTGGGGGTGGGCGAATGCTGGAGCTCAGAATCCCTTACGCCTAGTCTCTCTCCACACTGTGGCGGCCCCTAAGACAATGCAGAGAAACTCCTGTGCTCCACGGAATGCAGGTTGAAAACTACAATTTCACTGCACTTGTAAACTGACATGTGCACCAAAGTGTCTGAGAAAGGCTGGATGGAAGATGTAGGATTTAAGCTGGCCTTTAAGAAGCGCGGGGAGGATCTGGATGGGAGGGAGGAAGAACATACTCACTGGGCAAGGTACAGGGTTGGGAATAAGTAAGGACTGACTTTGGGGTGGATGCAGGACAGCAGCCTAACTTTGGTGCACCATGCACCATTTTCTGCTTCATCTCTAGAGAGGGGCTCAAAGTACAACGAAGGTAACTGACCATGCAAGGCCACTGCCTGAGTCGAGACTGATCAGACAGACGTGGGCAATGGGCATCTTTGGTTCTGAGTCCCACAGGGAGGCTGTTGAGGACCCGACTTCCTTTACGTAGATGAAAAATCTAACATTTAAGAAGTCCTTCCCTCTCCCATCAGAGCAGGTGAACTCCCAGTGATCCACCAGAACTAGTGAAAGCAGAGTAGGTCAAGGGCAGTGTTGGCTCAACAATGATTTGAGTGTTTGAGACATCAGGTACCCTGGAAAAGGAGCTTTCTTTCCAGATGGGCATCTTCATGATCTCCAACACCAGGACGACCACTAGGATGCCCGACTCCTTACCATGTAAGGATTCTGTTGGCCCTGAGAGGATGCGTGTCCCCCTGACTGGTAAGGGGAAAGGGATGGAACTGAGAGAAATGGGGCAGAGTAGGGAGGGAAAAACTTTTAGTTGTAGGTCTTATTTCCCCACAACTTCCCTCTCATCTGTGGGACTCTTACCCCGAGGAAGCTACAGCCAATATGTTTATGAGAGTAAAAAGAAAAATTCCTGCTGTTTTTCCTCTTTTCCTGAGGAATCTGGTTTTAGTTCTTTTAAACAAAAGCAAATGATAAATTCCCAGTTGGTCCTTGGTTTCACTGGTAAGCCTACAATTACGGTATTTGGCTAAAACAATTTGCAGATTTTGAGCTTTAGGGTGATGCTACAGTAAACGAAACAGGCAGCTTCTGAGGAAGCTGGAAAATGATTTTTTCCTAAGATGAATATTAAGAAAATGGAAACCACTTAGAAAGAAATCCTGACTTCTGAGGTATCAGGAAAGGTAAACACACACAGGCAGGAACACGGACAAGAACTCTTACTTTTTTCAATAACAAGCATTAGCTAAGGGAAAAAAAAAAGGAAACCTACCCCATCCTTATGCTATTCAAAATGCTAACTTGCTCCTCTGTGTGTGTGTGTGTGTGTGTGTGAGCGTGCCTAACGGAAGCTGGACATTTGCAAGCTTTTGCTCGCCAGCATCTCTCTGTGGTTTTAACACTCGGGCGCTGTTTGTTTTAATGGAAAAATGGGGATAACACATGCATCTAGCTTTCCTCTCCCTTGAGTTTTCCTGACTTTCCAGTGAAAAATTTTATTCATAAAATTGATTCCTGAGGGGCCCATTCTAAGGATCCCTAAACAGTTTTGTCAACACTTTAAATGAACACCATTATCTTGAATTCACTTAACTTTCTCACCCATTTTTGATGAACTTCTTGGTGGGTTTCTCCTAAGTATTCAGGCAGTTAAGTCCCTCACCATTCTTTCAATCCCCAATAACGCCAACTGCTTAAATAAATCTGCTATATTCATAGTATTCTGCTAAATGCTTTAGAGGAATTGAAAAAAAGGTAAAAGATAAAGTCCCTACTCTATAGGGAAAAAGTCTGTTTTCCTTTGGGATAACCAATGGATGAGTAAGAAATACTTTATACATGACGCGCTGCACGGATGGGGTCACCGCCATCAATAACAACCACAGCAGAACTGAAAGATGTTCCATACAAGCGACCGTTTCCAGTTCTCCTTCCACGGTATCAATGAGGAGGGGTTAACATTACAAGTGGGGACTTTTTAAAGTTCAGGGAATAGAAACTTCATAAAAAAAAAAAAACCCTAATTGTAAGTCTGTGCTAACACCCTGGTGTACAATCTGTCAAAGTCACACCTGGATTCAGGGCGGCCTGAATTAATTAACAACTTTTCAATGTGTTAGTGCTAACATATGGCATTTAATTACTGCCTCCAAATCCGTGAGTCTCTCCACTTTGAATTTCAAAATTATTTCTTCATCTTCCAGTAAATCGGAACGTGACTGGATGGGAACACCCTGAGCTTCCTCTCTCTACTGGAAGCTTGCAGGTCATCACCCTCCCCTAGCAATATTTAGTTAACTTGACTCCTGCGAGCTCTGAACTTGACACATGCACACAGCGGGTTTCGGAGGCAGCCTTGAGAAAAGAGTGGGCTTAAATGGCATTTCTGGATTTGAGGCTTTAAGGACCCCTGACAACTTGTGAGGTTGGACGGTTAAAGCAGGATGGATTTATTTATGCTTTGTCTACAGAGTGAAAAACAATCCTCTTGGCCAGGAGCAGGACATATGAGGGAACAGCGACCACAGCCCCTGAGACCCCCATCACAGAACCAAAGGCAACCTCTCTGCTTTTCTTTCTCATCACTCCCTGCTAGACCAACTTCCCATCCAGCAACTGCATTTCATTTTCAATCTTGCACAGCTGGTATCTTTTTCTGCCTAGCAAGGAGGATTAAAGCTGGAAAACAGGCCCTGGGATGGGACACAGAAAGGAAGAGAGTAACTATGTTTGTGCTAGTTTATGCTGGTGCCTGAAATCCACAGCCCGTCAATGTGCTTCATACCAGTACTCAACTGCATGCAATGGGAAAACAACAACAAAGTTGGATTCTGTTGCAATTTGGGTATTTATTCAGTGTGTTCTTTTTAAAGGCCTCAACATTTTATTGCTAATCCAGAGTGGGATTTTTTTTTTTTTTTGGACACCTGGCACAGGGGAAGCACAAGGGCAGGAGGTAAAATGTTCCAAGTTTGCATAAATATGCTAGAGGCTGCAGCTTAAATCAGAGCCAATTATAGGAAGCCATGGAGATTGTGGACGACAGTTCAATAAAATAGGAAAGCGCAGGGCAGATGTAAGGGCAGGCTAACACTTCTGGGCTCTCCACAGAGCTTCCCTTCGTCAGAATCTCTGCATGGACAAAGGCTTACAAGAGCGATTGCTTTTCTGGAATCCATTTGTCCATTGCTAATTAATCTGTGATTAGCACGCCGTTTCTTGCTCAGCAAATACAAAGTTTTAGCAATCTGAACATCGTGATGATGAAGACAGTTAACTGTCTAACTGTGATGAGTCCTTTGTGCTATCCATAAATGTCAGCAAACTCAATAGAAGTGCAATTAGAGCTCGTTAGATTTCTTTCACAACTACAGGAGCTATTTAGAGCCTCTGAGCCAAAGAAATCTTTGTGCTCTTTGAGGCTTGGAAACTATGCTTACCTGTCAAGACTGCCATGTGAAATCAGAAAAGGCTTGCAGCTCTTATCACTTGCTTTCAAAAAATTATACATTTCCCCTGATTCCTCAGTGAAGTCCAAGGAGAACCTTGAAACTGTTCACGTCTATGCAAGGTGAGGCTCCATCTGAGCATTCATAAACAAGAGTGCTTTAAAGGCAGCTTTCAGCCCACTGACACCTTTTGCCTTTTTTCCTTTACTGGAAATTCAGAAAGTGAAGGTCAATCTACAAAGCAAAGGGAGAACTGGCCCAACGAAAAGGTTTGGGGGATTTTCCTTCTTGGGGACAGATCTATGCTTTGGAAGTGCCAGCCTCTGCGGTTCAGAATGCACCAAATCGGCTGCCTCGGCTAGCCAGAATTAAGCCAATAATTTAGCAGAGCGAATATTAGCAGAGGGTACGCTCTTTAGAGACGTTAACTTACGTACTCCTCAAACAACTTCATCAGGTAGCTCTTACAAGAGGTGTTCAGACTATGACCACTGAGACCCCCTCTTAGAGCTGGAGACCCCGAGGCTGGGCGGTTATGGAACCTGCTCGAGGGCACAACCAGGTCAGGGCCAGGGGTCAAGTCTGGGCCCCTCAAAAGAATTTTAAACTGCCACCACTCCGTGTTGCTTCCTGAAAAATAGCATTCTTAGGTAGTCTCTCATCTTAGTCAAACAGTGCCCAATCCTGCTTGTCTTCTGAGATCATGCCAAATTGGGTGCGCCCATGGCAGATTTATTCTGTCGTCATGGCTCTAGACGCAAGGCAAGTATCACCCTCAGGCTCCAGAGCAGACACCAAGGGCAATGAAGCCTTCTGAGACATCCCGGAAGCCATCCTGTGGGCAGGATGCTCTAAGTCAGGGTTCATGCCTGTGCAGTAGAGAAGGCAAAAGAAGAAATCCTTTCATGGTTCAACGATTTGCATATTTCAGGTGAAACATTTCCAACTCAGTTCTCTAATGCGTCATGTTTTTGTAACTATGACCTGAGGTTCAGAAATAAGACAAACCCTTCTCTACAGATGTTTGCTCCATGGCCCTTGTCCTGACACCGTTTAGGAGAATTATGGGGTCAAAGGACGGGGAACATCTTTTGGTGGCCAGAAGCTCCCAGATGACCTTCACTGGCAGGATTCATCTCACAAAGACAAGATTCCTCTCTCCTCTCTCCCATGAGGAATAGAACAGACTATCAACACGTACTTCTGGAGCAAATTGTCTAGGGCCTTCTGCATGGGTAGAGCTCTCAGTGCAGAGCCCTATAAGGCCAGGGAAAAATCTGGGTGATGACAATAATCAACATTTTATAGAAGTGCTCTGTCACTTGCAAAGCACTGTAACAAATAGCTTATATGACTTGGGAAAAAAAGCCAACCTACGCCAGGCCATTACCATTATTCCCGTTTTATGAATGAAGAGATTAAAGTTCAGTCTTTAAGTGACTTCTAGATACTTCAATCAGCAGACTGTCTGTCACTAAGTGCCATGAGGTCAGGGGCAGTGTCTTCTGTAGTCTTTTCTTCTTCATCTTTTAAAAATTCATTGCTGCTGCCCCAGCCCCCAGCAACATGCCTGGCGCACAGTCAGTCATCAATGAATAACTGTGAATAAAGGGAGATGTGACTTGATCAAGGTCCCACAACAAAGCAGTGGCAGATTTTAGACCCTCCCACACTAATGCCACGTGTGTGATAAAGCAGTGCAGGAAAAAGGGACTCAGCTCTCAGTAAAGCGTGTGGCTGACTGCAAGATGGTGGGAAAGTACCCGACTCTACTCCCCAACAGACAGATCAAGCGCCAGCAGCACCGTGAGGCGACCTGGAATTTTCTTCAAAACTTGCTAGCTGTGAAGAAGCCAGCAAATGGGATGCACTACAATTAGCAAAAAAACACCTTGTGGAGAGATTTAGAGCCCAATCATAATTTACATTCGCAGATATGCAGATCTCCAAGTACATGGCTTCTGCCCTGATTACTAATTAATGAGGTGCCCGTGGAAGGAAACAGTGCTGATTATGTCAGCCTTGTGGGACAGCGAGGCCCTGAGGTCTGCGACGCTAGAAGATTCCTTTAACACACATTTTAGTAAATTCAAAGAACAAAACAGGGACAGACGGTTTGTACAAATGGAAGCAAAAGCTTAAGAGAGAAATGTGGCGATCAACCCTCCCGTCTCTTGGAGAGGCAAATCTCAATTATTTCAGGGACCTCATCAAATGCATCTTTCTGCACCAAGTGTAAGTTTATTTAATCAGGAGACTGAATTCTGAATGAATTTGGATGCAAATACACGGGTACAGTTTAGAGAAAAGTGCTGTAAGACAGTCTCCAAGCCAGAGAGGAGCCAACACAAAGCAGAAAAAATCCGAATTCTTAGTGGGTGGCCCCTTCCTGCTCCTCTCTGCACAGGATAAGGTCATTCCTTCCCAATGGGGGTCCTGTGCTGCTCTGTGGGAGGAAATACACAAGAGCCAAAGGCCACAGGGTCACCACACAGAGCAAGTCCCAAACAGAGGGACACGAAAAACCATTTCTTATAACATCTCTGTAGGTCTCTACATGGACGATAAATGAGGCAGGAGAAGAAGTTCAAGTTTCTCCAAACGTTCCAGCTGCAGCGACAAGTTTCCTGGAGCAGCTCTCTCTGCCATTCAGGGACAAAAAGCAACCGGGGCTGGCTTCTCCCTCCCCCACTTGACTTCTTAACTTAAAGAAACAGACATGAAATGAGATAGTCAGTCACCACCTACCGTTTGACTTTTCACTATCTGCAGGTTTCATCTGAATGGGGTGATGCATCTAAAAACACAAAAGAGAGAGAGTAAAGGCAGATTGAACAACCGTACAGACAGTTTCAGAAATCCCATACTGTTAAACTTGAGTCCTGATATTCTTACCAGGGCACATCAATAACAACAGGACCACTCCCAGTTAAAAGTAACCACATTAAAATGCAAGCCTGCGTTTGATGTTCAGGAATAGAATCCTTTTAAGTCATGGGGCACCGGGATGCAGTATTTAAAAACTTGGGCTTTGCAGCTGCACTTGAATTTGAACCCTGGTTCTGCCACTCAGTCTAGTTTCTGTCTTTATCTTATAGGTAGTTCTGGTTCTGCCTTTCCATATAGCTGTGTGATCTTGGGCAAGTGTCTTAACTTCTCTGAGCTTCAGCTTCCTCATCCGTGAAATGGAGATAGCACCTGCATAATAGGGTTGTAAGAATTAAATGAGAAAATGCATGAAATGAGAAATGAGAAAATGAGAAAGTGCTTAGTAAACGGGGTGTAGGGAAAAAATAGCTGTTGTTATTTCATATTATTACAAATTTACACGCAGCTTATCTTCGTTTTTCTTCTGGCCATTCTATGTCTGCTGCATGGCTTTTTCTTAGGTTTCACAGTTACGGGTAATCTGAAGATCTAGCATTTGATTGATTTAGGCACCATTACATAGTTTTGATTAAGCACAAAGCACAAAGGAATAGGGGGAGCGAGGGACCTTCCAATCACGTTCAGCACATATGGAGGAGCAGAAAGAACCCGAGACAAAGTGGAGCCAAGATCCCAAATATGGCAGAACCGGGTTCTCTACAGCTCTTTACACAATGCGGATCACTCCATGTGCGTGATGCACAGTTTACTCCACGTGCAGAATGCTACCAGCATTTCCAATTAAACTAAATTCCTCAGACTACTTTCAAAGGTCCGCTTGCTTCATGTTTCATCTCACCCCAAGGAACACAGAAGCCACAGGGTAGAAGGAATCACTGGCTGCACACATGCTTTTATTATAATGGGTCCCGTTCTCTCTGAACCTTTAATTTCCCCAGTGGACTTCCAGCACTTGCAAGCCACAGCTCTGGGTTTTATCTCATTTAAATGAAAGGGGAATGGTACTTGGCTCTGGCGCTTCAATGATGGGGAACGATTATCCGGCAGTCAGGACCAGGTACATGAGACGCCTGCCAGGGTCTTCAAAACACGAGAGGAAGAGGAAACAGGGAGTACTATCAGGGGCCAAGAGGCTAAACAATTCAGAGCTGCTTCGTTTATACTAAAAGGCAAGATGCTCTTACACGTAGAACATAGGCCCTGAGATGTGGCGTCTACTCGTATTCCCACTCCGTTGATTAATATGTTCCATTTGTGGAGGAGAGACTAGAATGAGAATAGACGGTTTAGGGGTCAGTAAGTAGACCAGTCTTTTCAGAAAAGACTGGAACATATACCAAAAAGCTGTGAGGTTAAGAGGCCACTGCAAACATCCATGTGAAACTGAAGGTATAAAGGTCAGAGGCAACTGGCTGGATGTGGGGATGAGCAGGAGAAAGAACCCCAGCCTGAGACAACTAGACATACTGTGGGAACATCGCCCAAATAGGGAAAATGTAATAAAGTAGTTTTGGGGGAGACGGATGAGAGCAGGTCTGGATGTGCCACATTTGCTGTGACTGCGGATGTAGAGAGGAGTTGGGAATGCGTGTCTCAAGCTCTAAAGATTGCTCTGGGAGGTGGCAGCAGAGGCCACAGCCATGGATGAAACCGCACAGAGAGAGAACACGTATTGAAGAGAGACAAGAGCCAGGGACAGACCATGGAGAATATCAGAAAGAGGAGCCTAAGAGGGACAGAGGGAAGGGCAGTCAGAGCAGCAGGAGCAACTGTTGCACAAGAACCACGTGGGGAGAGCTTCAAGAAGAACATGGTAGTCAGAGCAAGTGCTGCCAGGCCCCACAGTGAAAATGCTCGAGCATCCTTTTGGATTTGGCAATAAAATATTCTTTAGGGGGCCTGGCCCTGTAGCCTAGTGGTTAAGTTCGGTGCACTCCACTTTGGTGGGCCAGCTTCAGTTCCTGGGCACAGACCTACACTGCTCCTCTATCAGTAGGCATGCTGTGATGGTGGCTCACATGAAAGAAGACTGGCAACAGATGTTAGTTCAGGGTGAATCTTTCTCAGCAAAAAAAAAAAACTTTACGGAATTTATCAAAAGTAGTTTCTGTAGGGTGGTAGGGGCCAGAATGCCAGTTTGTAGGGATGGGGAAGTAACAGGAAAGATAACAGAGGGTATGATAAATGTAGACAACTATTTCAAGACAACTAGCTGAAAACGGGGGAAGACAGGAAGCTTAAAGGAAGATGGGGTGGAGGAGTCTTTCTTTTCCAGGTAGAAAGACTTGAACAGGTTAATATGCTGAAAAGACTCAGAAGAGATGCACAGACTAAAGGTCTAGGAGAGAGGAGATAAGTGTGCCTACATCATGTATGGGACAAAGAAAGGAAATGGATATGACTCTTGCTTGCAGGGAGCTTACGATCCATCATGGTGGTTGACGTGCACATATAAGGATGAAGAAATGTGACCGACATCAGAAAAGGAGCGCAGAGTGCATGAGCGTTCGGTTCTATCTGTGAAGGGCGTGGAGGTCTGCAGGGAGAATCTGGGAGCTGCAAGGTCAAATTCATTCAACTCTAAAGCTGTGAAGGGCCTTGGGAATCATTTAGTCTGATGCTCTCCTTTCTAGGTCTGAAGGGAATAAGTAGTTTCACTAAGGACACACAGCTGGTTGATGGCAGAGTTGGGATCAGAAATCTAAGCTCCCTGCTCTTAATCCAGTGTCAATTCCCCCATACCACATTGCTTCTCCAACAAACACCCAACGTGGGACTACCATGAAGAGCAGCAGGCTCCCCTCACTGAAGGCGCCTGCAACATCCCCTTAGGTGAAAGCAATCTTCCCTTCTCTAAACTCTCATTACACTTCATCTATGACGCGTATTACTCCAAGACTTGACTCTTGGTTTCCATGCAGCTGCTGAGAGAACTGGCTCAGTTTCTGACCTAAGACTATCCAGAAGGCTCAGGAATGACACAGGGTTGTAATGAAGCAGCCATTGCCACTGTAGACTTGAAATTTCTTTTGGGCCCAGAGGTGGGAAAGAAGGTCAGTTGACTAGAAGGTCAACTTCACAGAGATCTGGATCACCTATCCTGGTGAGTTCCGAATGGGTGGTCCTCTGAAGACAATTAAGAAAACGTATGTAGAGCACTGTGACCTTCTTGGAGAGAGGTGTTCAATCAGCGCTGTATTAGGAATGGCTCATTATTGTAAGCAGTTCATTTGAGTTACAAATTTCTGATCAGATACAAGATGTAAATGTCAAGGAAGACAAAAAATGGTTTGGAGGAGTGGTTCTCACAGTGTTGTTTCACTTCCTCAAAATCTCATGATTCCAAGAATTTTGGGAGATGTGTCGAGTGGAGGAGGGAAGTTATTGTTAAGGAGCAAATGTTCTAGTTTAAAGTTTCAAGTTGTAATAGCGGGATTCTTTGCCTATAACAGGAAATGTTTTCAAAGATTTGACCCAGTATGACTCCTAGGACTACTCATTCATTCACTTATTTCTGCCTTTACCAGCCACTCTGGTAGGTGCCGTGGATACACGGATAGATGGAAAAGAGTTCTCGTCGTGATGGAGCTTGTAATGTAGTGGTAGAGACAGACAAGCATCTCCCATAGGACGATGTGTGCAGGGTGGGAACTCAGAGGAGAGATACTAGCATGGATGAAAGAAGGGCAACCTGGAGAAGGTTCTCAGCTGAAGCCATGTTGGAGTCCAATCTTGAAGGAATCTTAATGCTAGTCATGACATGAGTGAAGATTTCAGGGAAGGAACGAGATACTCGAAGGCAAGGAGTAAGAGAAAATAGGTTATGTTGTTACTAAAGAATGATGCTATGACATTCTAACCAACAGAGGCAAGCAAGAGAAGTCTACAAGATCATTCACCAAATACAAAATACCTAAACACAACAAGACTCACAGTAAGGGATATATTCATGGATCGAACAATTTCAAGTAGGAAGAAATCAATGCAAGCCTACTCAACCCTGCATTAAAACTGTCCTAGGAACTAGGATTGGCAGCCAGTGACCACACCCTTGCCACCTTCCTCAAACACTCATGATGAAACCTGTGTGAGAGCTGTTGCTTCTCAACACTGCTGCTGCCGCAACTAGGGAAGCTAGCTGTCTCCACTGCCAGAGTTGAATGGGACAGGAGTTGGAGCTCCCTGCTGTGCTCTGCACTTGGGGATCCCAGTTGACAGCAACTGGCCAGAGGAAGAGCCAAAGAATTACGCAGTCCCTCTTCCAATCTTCTAATGTCTCACCAGTTGTAAGGGAATCTCAGGGTCAGGATTAAGGCTAGTCCTTCCTCCTGTCTATGGCGAGTGAGCACATGATCGGCAAGAACTTTTACAAGAAGTCCCCTAAGAGACATGCATTAATTAAACTGAAGCTGAGTCTCCAGGACCATACAGGATTAGATGTGTCCGCAAAAACCTTCAGTGGCCTGTACTGTCAGGATCTGTCTATACTGTTGGAGGAGTCCAGGAATTTCATGAACCCCAGCCTGTGACATTCGCAGGGTAGTTTTCCTGAGGCCAGGTGAAATGGTAGCAGTGCGTCCCTGACTGTGTGCAAGGCAGCTGTCCTTGGAGCAAACTCCAGTTGTCTTAAACCAGGCTCCCTGTTGGCAGAGTGCTGGTTCCAGGGACATAGCAAGATCAATCACTTTGGAAATACATCCTGGTCCATGGGAGTAAATGTGACTTAATGTATTTCATCAAGTTCACATTTTTATGGAGAAAGCCTTTTAAATCCATTTCCTTGAAGATCTCTATGACTGCACATGAATTTCTTTTTCGTTTTTATTGCAGACCAACTTTTCGCCTCAAGCTACGCATTAAGGTACTGGTTAACTTCTTGGTCTCCATTTAGTCCTACTTGTTTAAAAA